GCCACAGGCTGGCAGCTAGAGAGGGCCAGCGTCAGGACTCACATCCTTTGGCTCACGTGTTCCCACCGCCCAGGGCCAGGCCTCATTCCCCACCCCAGCAAAGCTCTGCCTGGCCCCAGGCCACCAGCAGTTGGGGTTCCTCCAACATCAACGTCAAAGTCTCTTCCTCCTCCTCCCCCTCCTCTCCTTCCTCCCCCTCCTCCTCCTCCTCCTCCTCCCCCTCCTCCTCCTCCTCCTCTTCTCCTTCCTTTCTTCCTTCCTTCTCCTCCTCCTCCTTTCACTGTGTCAGTCTGTGAGCTTCTTTCTCTCAAGGCTGGCACTCTACCACTTGAGCCACAGCTCCATGTCAGCGTTTTGGTGGTCAGTTGGAGATAAGCGCCTCACAGACTTTCCCACCAGAGCTGGCTTCGAGCGGCCATCCTCAGAGCTCAGCCTCCCGGCTAGCGGGGATGACAGGCGTGAGCCCTGGGCACCCGCTGGCTCAGTCGTCTTGGGGGTTCGTCTGGTCTGACCCTGCGCCCCGGCTCTGGTCTCTTCCGTCTCCCCGGTGTCGCGGCTGCTGGCCCTGGCTGGTGCTAAGAGAAATCCCTTTGCGTCCCACACTCGGTTCCCAGTTCTGTCCTGCATTGTCCCAAGCTCCCATTGTTCTCAAGAGTGTCCACCAACCTCCACCTTGAGGGGAGCCTGGAGGGATCGATGGGCCCCCAGGGCCGCCACCCCCTGGACAGCGGGAGCGGACCCCAGCTGGAAGGAGGGCCCAGCCCACTGTGACCTCTGCGGCCACCCCGGGCCGTCCACCCCCGGACACACCCACGAGGTGCCTGAGGGCGTGGCCTTGCGTGACCTTGCCCTGGCTCTGAAGGAGATGACAGCCCACGACAGTGCTCCGCAGCCAGCCAGCCAGCCACTGCGCAGGAGGGAAGCCCCACGCTCCACCTGCGACGCCTGAGCCTCCCCGTCCAGATGCCTGACTCAGTTTCCCAGATGCATGCATTCGGCCTCACCAGCCACCTGGGGCATTTCCCACCCCGGAGCCTGGGACCCTCAGGAGGAATCGACGAGCTCAGAGCAAGGACATACAGAATGAACACCAAAGAGACCAACACAAACCATCATTTCCCAGCTACCACGAACGGATGCACGCCGGCTCCGGCCCGCACAGCAAGGCGTAATGGCGCATGCACTCAGGGCTTTGAGGTGCTGCCAGGATCGTCAGTGGCTGTGGGCGCCAAGCCCAGGCAGCAGGCAAGCCCCAGGCCGGGAGGCTCCGGCTCACCTGAGGCTTTATGAAAAAAAGACAAAAACAGAACCTGCCCAGCAGTCACGCCTGTAATCCAGGCTACTCAGGAGGCTGAGGTCTGAGGATTGCAGTTCAAAGCCAGCCCAAGCAGGAAAGGCCATGAGACTCTTATCTCCAATAAAGCAGCAAAAAGCCACAATGAAGCTATGACTCAAGGGGTAGAGCACTAGCCTTGAGTAAAAAAAAAAAAGCTCAGGGACAGCACCCGGCCCTGAGTTCAGGACCCACAGGAGTTTATGGCAGGCATATACAAAAATAAATAAAACGTAAGAATAATAAAGAATAACCCCACAGGCGGCTGAGGAGAGCGCCCCCCGGTGGTTTCCCTGCAACGCTGTTGTGACTGGGCCAGGCTGGGGCTTCCCGCTGGGCTGTGGGCGATGCATCTCAGCCCCGACCCCAATCAGCCAAGACCCCCCTCCGTTTTATGCCTATACCACAGTTTGAACTCAGGGAACCTTGGGCTCACTCTGCCATCCCCCCCCCACGGTTAGCGCTCTACCACTTGAGCCAGGCCTACAGTCTGGCTTTCTTTTTTGCTGGTAAACTGGAGACGGAGTCTGGCAGAGTTTTCTACCTAACGTTGGCATTGAACGGTGAGCCTCTAAAAGTATCTCAGCCTCCCGAGTCACTGGGCAGAGAGCCCCCGTGTCTTAGATTCGGGGATGTCCCCACCTTCCTTTTACCCGGAAGGAGCCGACTCTATGGTAATTAGTTAAAACGCAGGAAGGTACACTTTTAAGGGGTAGAACTAAAAAGAAAAAGATGGGCATTTAGCTAAGCTTATAAACCACACGCCGTACACTCTCGGCAGGGCAGACAGCGGGGAAGGAAGGATCTAAACACCGGGCCCTCAGTAACAGAAGGAGGGAGAGGCGGCAGCCGCTGCATGAGTTTGAGCTCAGTTTGCTGTTGCTGTTGCTGTTGTTAAATTCCACCCATACTGGGGCTCGCACATCACTTCTCGCAAGTCTTAGTGAAGGCCACTTAAAGTTGGGCTCCCGAATGCATCAGCCCACGGCCCTGAGTACTGATGCTGTGTTGTAAGGGGAACAGCTCTCAGCCTCTCTGTTCTGCTGTTGTTGATGTTTTTCTGGCCTTGATCTCCAGATCCTGACGTCTCAGCCTCCCAAGTGCTGGGATTTCAGGCGTGTGCCACCGCGCCTGGCCCTCTCTTATTCCTGCCCCCCCCCCCGCAATCGTCTCAGCCCCGTCCACCAGAAGCAGGGGAAAGGAAGCCATCTTCCTGAGCGTGTGGGGAGGAAGATGAAGGCCGTATCTCACACAGGCTGCTTGCAAAGCATTTTTAGAAATTCACATCATGTGAAAAAAACACACTGAGAATCTCATTTTCCTCTAGATCTAGGAAAATCACCAATTTGTTAGAAAAGTGCTGCATTGAATCGACCCAACGATAAACTCTAGGTGAAATTAAAAACCAGGAGAAAAACACCCCTCGATCCGTAGTCACACTGACAAACGGGTTACCACCGTTTTAAAGCTACAAGGCTTTAGATAACCATATGGCCCGTGCCAACCCCCCCCTTCCCCCTGGGAATGAACCCAGGGCCCTGTCCAGGCCAACCACATACTCCACCGCTGAGCTACACCTCCCAGCCCTTGGGGTTTTGAGATGGGGTTTCACCACATAGCTTAGGCTGGTCTTGAACTCTTGGTCCTCCTGAAGTTACAGGCATGCACCACCGTGCCCGGCTGCTGTGATCTATCTTGAGCAGAGCGCCTACTCTCCAAACTCCTCATGCGCCGTTTGAAGGTGTAATGCCAGGTGCTGCCCACTGGGGATGGGTCCTTGGTTTGGTGAGTGAAACAGTGGCCCAATTTGAAAAATCAAACCTTGCTGAAAAATCTTACTTCCACATGACCAGGAAGGAAAACAACCCGCTGAGAATGTGTGTGTGTGTGTGCACGCGTACATGTGTGCACTTCAAACAACCTGCGTCCGGGCTCCCCTCAGAGCGCCGGCACTCCTTCCCCATGCCAGACACGGAGGGTCACCTTCGTGCTGACTTAAAGCCCAGCTGCAGATGAGGCCGGAGGGAAGCCCACACCTCTGCTCACCGCCAGGCCGCAGCCGCAGGACTGTTCCGCACATTCTTTCCCACATGTTCAACATACAATTCTAATCAAAGGTGCTGCCACAGGAAGGGGAGCCTTGGCTCAAGCGGCAGAGCGCCAGCCTGGAGAGAAAGCCAGGGACAGCTCTCAGGTCCTGAGTTCAAGCCACAGAACATGGACACACACACACACACACACCTGCGTCCTCAATGATCACACAAACATAAAAACCACTAAAAAGAGATGGAGGATGTGAGATCAACTTGTTTGTATTGTTAAAAGTGGGCTGAGTGGCATCTCATCAGCCTCTGCGGAGACCGGGTCAGGCGTGAGGAACTTTCCAATGGCGTTGCAGTTTGGTGGCGGGGACGCGTGCTGGGCTGTGTGTGGCCCGCGTCCGCGAGGTCTGGCGGGGCCGGGGCGGGGCGCGCGGCCCCTGCTCCAGTCCCACCGAGAGCCACAGAACTCCGTCGCCCGATGCACACCCCAGCGTTCTGGGCTTTGTTTTTTTAATGTCAGTGCAATGTAAGACGGCCATTCTCGTCTCTCTGATGCGTGTCCCAGCACGGGGCAGCCGGGGTGGGGGCAGGGGGCCTTGACGATGTCCATGCGGTGGGGGACGCCGGTGCCGAGCCCACCGCGCTTCAGGCTTGGCCACGGATGGACACCCGCTCCTCCCACCTAGCCATGGCCGCCTTCTGTCATCCGATCGTCCTGACTGCCCTGAGGTTCCCAGCTCACCGCGGCCCCAGCACTGCCCATGAGCGCCGCAGGACGACATCTGTGACAACACAGACCAGCCGCAGCCGACTGCGGGTCACACGCAGCCACGCTGGCTGAGGGCAATCCACCGTCCCGCACGGAGGTCTGCGCCTCTCCTCCCGGAGGGCCAGAGACGTGTTTCATGTCAGGTGGGAAAGCTGACGCGATCGGCAGGAGTCATCTCAAGTCCCGGGTCTGTGGCTTCCAACGCCAGTGTGTAGCAAAGGAAAAGAACCTCGGCTGGGCAGGAGTGTTCAGTGCAATCGCGGCCATCAGGCAGGCCCAGGACTGACCCGCCCTGGGGCGGTCCGGCCCTCTGAGGGCACCGTGACCTGGGCCTCCCGATGTCTAGGAGCCCAGCCAGGCTGGCCTCTCACAGCCCCTGAGGCTCTGCTGCGGGGCGGCAGCCCCCGAGGCTCCCGGGGTCAGAAGCCGTTGCTGCTCCTGTGACACAGCGGTGGCTTGGACAGGTCCAGCATGCCGGCCTGGGGGCGGCTGAGGAACTTGGGGGCGCTGCGCAGGAGCCGCTGGGCCTCCATGAAGGCCTGGGTCAGCTCCTTCTTCCACTGCGCAAACTCGGGCTCGCTCTGGAAGGAGACACAGGGCGGCACAGGGGTGAGGCCTGCAGAAACAAAGCCACACCCCACCGCCGGCCTCGGGTGCTCAGCAGGTGACAGCCCGCCCGCAAGGATCCCTCCGAGCCTGGTGTCATCCTAGCCACTCAGGACGCTGAGATCTGAGGATCGTGATTCAGAGCCAACCGGGTGGGAAAGTGTGTGAGACTCTGATCGCCAATGAACCAGCAAAATAAAAGCCAGAAGTGGAGATAGGCCAGCCAGGGGTGGGGAAAGCTAAGGTGGAGAGAGAGGCCCTGAGTTCAAGCCCCAGTGCTGGCCCCCAAAACCAAACAACGACACCACCACAAAAAGCAACCTCTACCTGAAGCTTTCCTGCCAGGTCTGTGAGGCTTTCTTGATAAAGCAGAGGTGATCACCAGGCCTCTGGCTTTGTTATTTATGCTATTATTCTAACTTTCCTCTAAGAGAAAACAAACTCACAAACTCACCTCACACTGCAAGACAAACTGCTTCCCTCCTTTTATTCTGAACAATATGCACTTTTTGTCTTTGATCTGAGTTTCTTCCACCGACAGAATCTGCTCCATGGTCAGTAAACTTTGCTGATCAGAAAGATAAGGGTGGGACGTGTTACCTCAAGTCATTTCGTGATCGCCTACATTAAAAGAACAACTAAGAAAACAGCGTGTGTGCCGGGCCTTGGTGGCTCACGCCTGTCATCCTAGCTACTCTGGAGGCTGAGATCTGAGGATCTCGATTCAAAGCCAGCCCAGGTAGGAAAGTCCATGAAACTCTTAACTCCAATAAACCACCAGAAAACTGGAAGTGGCGCTGTAGCTCAAGTGGTAGAGCGTTAGCCTTGAGCTGAAGAGCTGAGGGACAGCGCCCAGGCCCAGAGTTCAAGCCCCACGACTGTGGAGTGTGTAGCACGTGTGTGTGTGTGTGTGTGTGTGTGTGTGTGCGTGCACGCGCACGCGCACACATGCGCACATGTCTTTGATGATGTTCCAGAAGCCAAGGGAGAATGTGGGCTATGGATCGAGGTTCCGGGCAGAGGATCTCAAGAAGTCAGCGAGGGGAGCCTCAGCACTGGCTGTGGGGGCGCGGGGCCGGCGTGGGCCGGCTGCGTGGGAAGTGAGGATTTCCCCAGCACAAGCACCATCGTCTGCGGCCTGGCAACTCCAAGGAAAGCGTCTGCCGATGCTGGCTGGGAAGCCAATGACATTTCCATCACATCAAAGCGCTGCCCTCAGTTTGGGGGGGGGGTGCTGTTACAAGATAGTCCCCTAGGCCCATCTGCCTAAGCCTCTGCCTGAGCCGCCTGCCACAGCCGCACAAGTTCTGTGTTTATTTTTGGATAAATACTCCAGGAATCCTAAATGAGCAGGCAATGCTCAGGGACAGGGCCCAGGCCCAGTGTTCAAGCCCCAGGACTAGGAAGAAGGAGGAGGAGGA